GGTTAGGGCCAAAGTCGTGCTGTTAGTGCTTCCCCATGCAAAGTTAGCATGTTAGTAATTAAATTTGAACGCCTGTTCAAAAAAAAAAAATCTATTTTCTATGGTATGCCTATTATTGTTCTTTATTAAAAACACACCTTTTATTTTCCTCTGCAGAGTAAAGTAAACATGACATACTAATTTACAGTGAGACTTGTCAACAAACACATGAGATTACAGATATTAGTTTGAGCATAAACTTTCTATTACTTTCAATTTACTGCTAGTGCAATAAAACTGTCATCAGATGGAATGGGATTTTATACTGCATCAGCTATAATAAAATGCTATTAAATTGGAAGTATACAAATTTTCCATTGTTCTCTTACTCATCAGTTATGAAAATTAGAAAGTTACGCACAGCATCATGCTGTGGCTTGCATATTCCAACAGATAAGTAGTGATTTAGTCAGGGTAGTTTGGGACATATAATTAATCTCTGATTACAAGGCTGGTTTGCAGTGTGAACAATAGTATGTTTTACTGCAGTAAGGACCTGAAAGCTTTAAATGGAAATTTGTATTTTAAAAATGTGGGGAAAAAGCCCAAACACTAGTTCCTCAATTTTGTTTGGGACAAAATCCAGTAGACAAAACCAGAAATAAAAGAAGTCCTTTATATATTCCAGGATAGGGGAGAACCAAAAATAGGTAATGGAACAGCATTCACTTTAAAAAGAAGGCTTCAAAATACCACCAGTTTCCAAAAAGTTCAGTTTACGGGTCTACAGTTCAGGAAATCAAGAGCCACCAGAGCTCATTTCTCATCTTGGCGATGAGAATACCCGGCTTTAGGTCACTGTCCCTTGCCCAGTTTGCTTTCCTTAGACGTATTGATAGGACACAAGGCTGTAAGAAGCGGCTTTCTTGGGCAACACTGGGGGTGTTCTGACAAAAAAATGACTGTGGGAGAATCATATATTTTTTCATAGTACTTTCTCACAGTTTTCAAAATTAGACGTTTCCATTCTTTCCTTTTAAAGTACCTTCTCACTTGCAATTATTTGATATTACACAATGTATTACAATGCGTCTATACACACAAGTAATACAATGTGCTCTGTATATAGCATATGGAATACAGCATTTTAAAACTGTATGCTGAATCAAAAATGAATAGTATATTCATATTAATTTTGGTAAGAAGTACAAAAGTTTATTTTTTAGTATTTGTGTTTCAGTGATGCTCAGAGACCTGTCAGGATTGAAGTGATGGTTGTACTACAGAGAAACAGTCCTTGCTCCTGTAAAAGCTAGAGATGTCTTTCACTTTTCATCTATGAAAAGTCTGAAAATGGATCTAAGTGCTAGTGGATAGGTGACCTGAACAGACTGTATCTCAACTGAGCCTTCTGTTCTTCATTTCTCATGGTCTGTTCTGTTATGTATAGGCTCATTAGACATACATTGAGCTATGTGACTGACATCTTCCACAATTAGTGCTCACATATAATTAGATGCAATGCTGACAAGGACTCTGTTGTTTTCTATAGTTTCACAGGAAGGCTTTTTCCTTCTTTTTTGTCACCGATCCATTAAAACCGTTGCACCATGTTCAGCTGGTGGCTGAGATTGAAAATAATTTACAGCCATTAAAACATTGCTTGTGTATCATTAACTCCACCACTTGGATTAATTTGTTTTTTACAGATACAGTAGTTCATAGGGGGATCCTTTCTTGAAATGTAAAAAGTCCTGAGGCGGTGCCCTAGTAAAAGCATCTGGCTCAATTGCTCTATTCTGCAAGCTTAATGTTCAGTGCTTGATTACCAGTAAAGTTTAATTAAGAATTATTTTACTAATAATTGGGGTTACATTGTCCTCTAGTGGCTCATATAGATAACTGCCCTGTTCACAGACTCCTTTTGCCTTGTGTTTTTAAATCCCCTCATACTCTTTTCCTACAAGTCCAAGTCACCTCGGAAGAGGACTGATGCAATGGCCAAATAAAAAGCTTGTATCTTATTGCCACTGTACGAGTACAGCAAGATCTGTCCTCTATAACTGTATATTGTCTGCTTAAGAAATACATATTTAAAATCGTTCAAAATAACAATAGGGAGTTGTGAGAAGATACTGCATTTAATCAGAGCATTTGATGGAAACAAGTATATCTTTCTTAATGACAGTACAAAAGAATAAACTCATTATGAATTTTTTTTAATAGGTTGAAGACTAGTTCACTTCCACAAAATGCATAGAGATCTCACAGGAAGGAAAACAGAATAGCCCTCCAGCAATAACTCCAAGTTCACAGGTTCAATCCCTGCTTACTGCAGGGGGGTTGGGCTCGATGATCTCTCAAGGTCCCTTCCAACCCAAAGCATTCTATGATTCTATGATTCTATGTCCTGTGGCTACTTACTCGTAAACCTGAAGAACGCCAGGCTTTTGCCCTGTGACATGGCAGCGCTGCCTTTCATAGGAAGCAGCGAAGGCACCAGAGCGCTTTGCAGCTGGATGTCTGCCAGCATAATGCAGGTGTTCGCAAATAGGAGGAGGGATCTGGGAGCATGGACCATAACGCCAGGGTGTTTGCAGTGACGAAACGCGCGTTTCACGTTATTTTGAAAAGGTGATACCATATTCTCGCACGTGCTGAGTTTGTTTTGCCCCTGTGGCAGAGCAGTAGGATGGCGTCCAGCGGAGGCCCTGGCCGTGGTCACGGGAAGCACGGCAGGCAGGGTGCTCCGACTGGCAAGCCTTCCCTTTTGGTGTTGCTTCTTCCTTGACGAAATGCCATGACTAATGAGGAGTAGAGGTTGCTCTGCAGAGGTAGTTTCTGCGTGTGTAAGAGGAGAAGTGGTGCTATAAATGCTTCCATTTATACCTCTGAGATTGTGTAGGAGAAGGAGTGGTTACGAGTGGTGAAGGAATGTGGTTTCTCTCTTCTTAAAGAAATGGTGGTGCACTCCAGCAAGATGATAGCTTGCGTTTTCTTGTGCTGTTTGTAGTAATGGGAAAGACAAAGGAGCACCCTGACCTTACCGAGTTACTATCAGAGGCTTTTTCAAAGTCACATGCCTTGTACTCTTTCAGGGAAGTAATATATCAAGATTCAGTAAAAATTCTTTGCTCAGGTCCTCTATCTCTGGCCACCTTTTTTCTCCCTCCCTTTTCAGAGAGGCCTTCCTTTCAACCAGCAGTGTGATTGTATGCATTGGATGGATGTCAGCCGGTTGCTATTCATTTCCCTGGGCTGATCATCCTCCAAACACCGGGAGAGTTGCAGAGTAGCTTAATTATACTTAACACAGCAGAGTCATGCATTTGGGGTTGTCCACGTACTGCATCAGACTCGCATGTATACCCACACCTAGCAAGCGTCAATAACTGCCATAGCTGACAGAAACAAAACGTACAAAGGCAGCCCTGAGGTATAAAATGCCTTCATCTCGTGAAATTTTCTGTGGTGCCATTCTTACAGTTCACTCAGAGGTTTATTAGGCAGTGATGGATGCAGGAATATTTGCAGGGAGTTACTTTTATCTAGTGCTCTGTGGGTCTTCTGCCACTGGGGCTCTTTTAAACCAAAGGCATGTGTTCAGTTAAGAAAGCACGTAGGAGTTTTATTTCTTCTTAATTAGCTGCCAGGAGGGGGAAGGTGATGGTTTTTATTTATCTTTAACAAAAAGGCTTCATTTTAAAATGTGCTTTTGTAACTCTTGCATCAACGTATTCTTTTTCATGCTTTGCAATGTTATTTTCCAGGGGTTTATAATGGTTTATTTAACCTAGGTGCTAAGCAAAGTTCTGCTTATCCTCAATTCAGAACATGGGGTTTTATCCTTTACATACCAGAGGGTGAGTTGTACAGATTGATCTATTCAGAGCTCACTGACTACAATTTCTGCTGTAATGTTTTTTTCAGCATTTGTCTTTTCCAGGTAGCTATCAGGCCAGTGGTTGCCCTCCCTCCACACTGGAATCTTTTACAGAAACCCATTACTGCTTCCCAGGTGTGCTCTTTCTGTCACTCCAGCAGTGAGGGGGTTCTGCCCCATCATTAAGGTCACAGTAGTGCTTCCCTCCACCAGCTACTGCAGCAATGCTCACGTTCTTCCTGCAGGCAAGGAGAAGATGTGACCGGTTATGCCTAGTCCTATTAATCAGGAAAATGCAGGCTTCTCTTCAAAGTAGAGGAGGAGGTTGCTCCTACTGCTCCTACTGTTCTTTTCCAGCTGTGTGTTAACTCCATCTTCCCGTAGTGCATTTTACATCAGGATTATGTCAGCAGAGTCTTTCCAGAATAAACTGACCTTTGATGTCAAACTTGGTCAGAGCTGGAATCCAGTGGAAGCAATTTTTGGTGAAACTGATCCCTTGTGACCTCTCTCATAAGGCTTGTCTGGGAACTGTGTATGCTAATGGGAAAAATAAAGTGGTGACCTTGTGTGTTCTCAGACTCACCGGGTGTAATCCTGCTCAGCACAGCAATGCATTTGTCAGGTTTTTGATGAGCATTTTACAGCCATCTGCCTGGCAGGTCCCCCCGCCTGCCTGTGTGCCTCTCCAATGCCTGCAGATACAAACGTGAGCGCACCTTGCTCAGTAACAGATGTCTTTAAAGAACGGATGCTGTTACTCATTGCTTTTCTGTGTGAATGTAGAAAGCATCCTTCGGTGCAAAACAGGTGGTAATTTTATTTAAATCCAACTGTATTGTAAAGCAGTAAAACTAATGAGATAATAAAACCTTGCCAGGTTTTCTGTTTCAATAAGCTCCTAATCTTGAAACTGTTTTAATCAAGCTTCCTTATCAGATGGTCTCATTTCTGCATTGCCAGCACACACCTGAAATTACTGCTTGGCCTCAGATTAAAAGGTGATGCTGTTTTGATTTGCACTGTTAAATCATTTCTATTTGAGGATTAATTTTTTGTTTGGCCTTTTCTAAAGGCAGTGTTCATCATTAAAGTGGCTGTGCATGAACGGTAATGTACTTGCATTTTCTTTCATTAGAATAACGAAATGGTGGAACTACAGAGGATACGAATGAAAGATGAAATTCGAGAATACAAGTTTCGAGAGGCGAGACTCCTACAGGACTACACCGAGCTTGAAGAAGAAAACATCACTTTACAGAAACTGGTGTCCACACTGAAACAGAATCAAGTAAGCATCGAAAGATTCAAGGCACTATGCTGAAAAATGACACCATTTTCTCCAATTTCCATAATGCGATCCCACAGAACACTTTGGTAGAAGTTTCTTTGTTTTTTTCAGTTGGGTTTTTGCTAAACACACTGAAACAGTGTTATTGGCCATTTTTGACATATGGGGAGGCCCTTACCTCAGTTTTAGGAAAATTCTGGTGGAATATTTCATTGAAGAACTTTATAATATCAGAGTAATTATTAAAATAGATAGAATCTCATCTTTTAGCTTCCTGCTTTTCCTCTCCTCCCTCCCTGCACACTGAACTCAGTGTCCAGCAGCAGAGTTCAGCCCTCCATTTCCTCTTGGTTGGTTTCCTGCATGTCCTTTCCTCTTCTGAAGCAGAGAAAATAGGAAATAATCTTCTTCCCATTCCCTTTTTTTCCCCTGCTCCTTGGGTTTTCCTGTACCAGTGTTGCTCTCTTCTCAGCCATGCTAACCCGCGAGTTTAGCAAGCTTCAAAAATAGGCGAAGGGATGCCAGATGTTCCTAGTTTGTCTTTTGTTTTCCCGTTACAGCAATTTGCAGCTGATGGCAAACACTGTAATTCTCACCGCAGTGCAGAATATACCCCGAGGAACCACCATAAACAACAGCCCCATTGCATCCAGATGTAAGCAGTCGTGGGGTCTGTTCTCTCCCCCTTACAAAAGCACAGCTTCCTTTGCTGCTGGATATATATACCGCTGAGGAAGCAATTAAGGACACAGTTGTCCTTTAAGTTGAACAAAAGAGATTTGTTCTCACATCAGAAGAGTTAACTTGCCGTGATCAATATTTAAGTATGCAAGCTGGATGATGTAACACTTTCTGTCTTTTAGACACTGTCCAGACCAGCATAACACCGCACTCCATAACACCATTTCCTTAACTGCTAGCAGATGGTAACAGCACTGCGTTGCAGCCCCTGGTTTATGTCCTAACCTACTGCCTGGTTCAGTTAAGCTTTTATCAAATAGCCAAGACTGTCACAGTCTCTAATGGTAGCCTGGTAACAAAGCTGCCTTATTCCTGCAGGAATATGCAGTACTATTTCAGTTATCTTTTACTCCTATTTTACTGCTCTAGTTTCAAATGCAACTGAAACATTTAAAACAACGGAGCCGTGCTGCAGGGAATACACAGGTAATAGAAATGGGTACATCGTTTCCTTATTATGAAGATACCCAGACTTTCACACTCTTGAAACTGAATTTATAGCAGATCATCTCTGTGTCAGAGTTATTTACCAAGCCAGCAAATTCCCCCTTTGAGGCACGGATTTTTTCCTCCCCAACCTCATAGGAGGCATTTTCACACTATCAGGAAATTAAAGACCCCTTTATGGACTGTCCTAGTTTCCCCCAGAAGAAAATCTGTTTGCAAGTGTTTATATTTGTCATAATATTTCATTCTTAATGAAACCAAATGCCAGCAGTCTATGGAGAGAAAAAGCATTGCCACATTTTGAATGGCTTTAAAAATCTGTCATTTTGCATCACATATCCATGCGCTTGTGATTCCTAAAATAGCTTTGATCTACAAGATAAAATTTCAAGAGCATTTTATACTTTAATACTTTAATTTACAAAACCATACATTACAAGTCTTACTGCTAAACTGTCATTATCTGGGTTGAGGGTTTTTGTAGCTTTTGTAAGCAAGAATCCATGAGATGGTAACCATAAAGATAATATAGACCTCTGGATTTCATATGGACTTAAAATTTTAAAAAATCTTCTACCATGTCCTTAAGTTATAAACACAGATACTTGATGGGATTTAATAATTTTTCAGATGGATCTCTCTGTCCAGTTAGAAAAGATATCAAGTTCCTAAATGTAGATTGCAAAACATCATTGATTTTCCTTTTCTATTTAACATTTCCCAACACGACTTTGGAACTTTCTTTGTTGTTTGAAATGTTTCCATTCACTGGGTTTGAAGATTAGTGCTTTGATTTTTAAGTTTGCCTTTCCAAAGGCTTACGAGCACAAGACTTTTGGCAGGTTGATAAATATTCTACTCCAATAGGAATGGTTGATATTTCTGTTTTCACCAGAACCTTATTATACTTTGTTTAAATACATATATGTCAAATAAAAAATATTCTAGACAATGCCTTAAAATTGCAGATAATAACGCATATTAATGCCTTTGAATGAGAAAAGCCTCAACCAAACAAACTTTTTTATGGAAACATGAAAATTCAATATTTCTTTTCCTCTTTCACCAAACTATTAAATTATTCCACTGGATACTGGGAATATTTTGCATTTAGAAATGAAAAGGTGGATGAATAGCATGATTTAGAATTAAATTAAAAATTAAAGCATAATAATTTTTTCCAGGAGAGTTGGTCAAGCATGGGCAAGGACCTTTACAAACAAAGCTCTTCCTTTTCATTGCTGTGGGATTTTCCAACAGTGAAAAGGAAGATGAGGAGAGCCAGCAAGGGAAGGCATTCTGCAGCGGGGATCAGCTGTGCCATCTAGATATTGCTGAGCAACTGGTTTTGAGCTAGATTGGGTTTACCTAGGCTTTGCTTCTTGTTAGGTGCAATAGAAAGCACTGAATGAATGTGGGAGCTGCTTTTTAAAGAAGAGAGAAGCAGCTGTTTTTTTCCCTCAGCCCACACTGCCAATAAATACCTTGATAAAATACTGCACCTGGGTGTGGGGTGGGGAGCTTGCCCTCTGAGAAGGAAGAAGACCAGCGAGTCCCTCCAAGCCTGGCGAGGCCGCACCAGGTGACTGCAGGAAGCACTTCAGGCAGCGCTGTTAGAGCAAGAGGTTTCCAAGGGCTCCAAAATGGCATCCCCAACACACAGTTCAAGGATTGTGTGGCTGGATAAGCTGTTTACTACATTTGTCCGGTAGTTTAAAATCTCTAACAATTTGGGGCACCTTAGAGTTTAAACTGATTGACTGTATAAATAGTTTGCTGTTTAATTTTTAAAATGAAATGCTGCTTGAATAATAGAGAGGCTTTTACGACACAGAGAAGAGAGTTGAGGCTCTTCTGCAGTTGTTGTACTTGGACACTACTAAGACACCAGACACTTTAGAGTATCTGTGCCTGAGTGACTTTACATCTGGTAAGAATTTAGATAGGAAGTCATCTTCAGAATACTTGCAAGTACTAAATCAGACTATATTAACCCAAGATCTATACATACCATGATATACCAACATTGCTTATTGCAGTTCATAATAAATCTATGGTTACCAGGATATCTGCTACTAAACAGCCTTCTTTCCATGAAATTTATTGTTTATTGCCATAAGTTACTCAGAAAAAGGTGTTACATTTCTTGATTCTCACATGCTGAAAAAGTGAGCGGTGGAGTATAACAGAGCGAGCTCCACTTGCATTTTCTGTGCAGCCAGTTCTTTGCAGCTGCAGGCAATGTCTGGCATTTCAAACTGTATTTTCTGTAACACCTATTTCAATAAGGCTGATAAATGGCAGGTTTTCATGACTCAAGTTTTAGTATTATGAATGTTCTTTGTCTTGTCTAATTCAGGTTGAATATGAAGGCTTAAAGCATGAGATTAAACGATTTGAGGAGGAGACAGTGTTGCTTAATAGTCAGCTAGAAGATGCCATCCGGCTGAAGGAGATTGCTGAGCATCAGCTGGAGGAAGCTCTGGAAACTTTAAAAAATGAAAGAGAGCAAAAGAACAATCTGAGGAAGGAACTCTCCCAGTATATCAACCTCAATGATAGTATGTATAATAACCATATTAATATATCAGTAGATGGATTGAAGTTTGCAGAGGACGGGGGCGAGCCCAACAATGATGACAAAATGAACGGACATATCCACGGGCCTCTTGTGAAACTCAACAGTGACTACCGAACTGCTGCGGGTAGGAAAGGAGAATCTCTGCACCCCGTCTCTGACCTCTTCAGTGAGCTCAACATATCAGAAATACAGAAACTGAAGCAGCAACTCATGCAGGTAAGAGCAGAATTTAATGTCCTGAAGTGTTTAGACACACATCCTGTGGACCCTAGTGCCTGTTTTGCAATGATTTCTCCCAGTGACGTTCTTGACCGCGTATGTCCTGTTCTCAGACTTGTGCTTTGGTGTTTCTTCATATACAGGTTTTGCTAGAAATATCCCCAGTAAACAGAGTATGTGTCTGCAAAAAGTCCGAGTGATCTGAGCAGATGTTTAATGCAAAGAGGAGAAAAGGACGTAGTTGCTGTGGTTGCAGATGGTTAGATTCTTTTTTTTCCTGCTTTGATAATGGGAAATGTCCCTGAAACTGCAAGTGGAATAAAGTACTCTTCAGTATGACCAAAGCTATCCGGAAACAAGCCCACTAAAATACAGACAGGCTTGATTATACTCCCGTGCAAGTCAGAGGGAGGTTTTGCCATTAAATTCTGTTTGAGCAAGATTTGGCATACCGTCAAGAGAGGACAAAAGGAGCAGAGCGCTCCTCTTAATAACCGTGCACTTGGAGAGCATGTGGCGTGTGAGGTGTCACAGAGTGCCCTTGTCCACCCTGGCAGTCCCGGCGGATGCGCAGGCTGCAGGGGGTTCCTTAGGGACCATACAGCGAGCATTTGTTACCTATTCATCCAAGCCCAGCCCAGGCATAACCAGAATAGGAGCCTGGGATGCAAGCCAGATTAAAACTCAAGCTGCCAGCCCTGATGCTGACGTCCTCTTCGAAAGGGGTACAGTGCCACACAGAGAAGGGGTCCCACTGCCCAAGCTGTTGAGCATCTTCTCTGCCACGAGAGCTTGAAACGTTTTGGCACCATCAAGGAAACATCCAGCATTTTCTAGCTGCCAGCTTCCAAAAAATGCCTCTTCTAAAGAGGGTAAATGTAAATCCTTTACTACTTAAAATTTTAAGTGATTTGGAAGTAAAGTAGAGCAAATCCAGTTTTCAATGCTTGCTAGAGAACAATAAATCCCTGCGTGGTCTGTCCTATATTTGCTGAAGAGTTAATTGTTCTGTTTATTTCATTGCCAAACGCGCTGTGGGAAGTTTTGATCTGAGCTATGACATGGCAAACACTGATGGCATCCAGTGCTTTGCACAAATAATTTTGATGCAAGAAATACATAATTGAAGTGGAAAAGCTTGAAATTTGGAATTTTGTTTCTGTGAAAAGTTCTGTCAGAAACTTCTCCAGTATTAAAATGTAAACAGTGTGTGTAGTTTGTGTATAAATGCATATATAAAAATATGAATGTGTATGTACATATACATTTATGTATATAATAGATGCACATATATGCAGCTTTTTATTTCATTCAGGAATACAATGTTAAAAATTTTAAAACTGCAGCTTCAGAAAAAATGCTTTGAAATGTTCACTTTTAAACTATAACATAAGCATTTTCAACCATAATTTAAAATGAATGCAATATAAATTTGGAGTAAAAGCTGTTTGGAAATGAAAACCAAGATTGTTTGGATATGTTTTGTCTTGATTTTATTAAATTAAATATTGAGCTTGGTGAATCAGAAAACTTCTACTTGAAAGATACTAATGTTTTGATCATCTCTGACTTAAAAACTTATTTATTTTACACTTCTTAAGCAAAGAGTTGGCGTTCTGGCATTCTGGTGACTGGCCACAAGCTGCCCATCACAGGATCCTAGAAGGACCCTAGAAAATAAATATAGCCACCACCATTGCTCAGCATTCTAATCTTGTTAAAAGGTTTGAAAAGAAGGACTAGACCCAGCTGAAAACCTGATTTCTTTAGATACTGACAAGGCTTACTGCAAAATGCTGGTGTGTACTTTTTTTTAAGTGATCATCTATTGAGTTGCATCAGCTCACCTTGAGTGACACAAATTAAATGTGAAAAATCCCTCCAAAACTTTTCTTCATAGTAGATGGGAGATTTAATCAAGTTCAAGCTGACAAAAGGTAATTCTTCAGTGAAACTGGATTTTTTTCTCCTCAGCAGTGTCTTTGCCATGTGGTGTTCATTTAGCGATATGTCAATATTTGGTATGTATTCCTCTTGTTTTCTCTGAAGAGGCTGTTCAATGACAGACTGCTGAAGGAACTGGCCCTCTCTTGGGAAGTATTTTTATGTTTATAGGACAGCAGGCTCGTTTTTTGAGAGAAGCGAACTTCAGGTTTGCCATTTTGTACGTGTGTGGAAAATTTTGTCACTCCTCAATCTCAAAAAGAAGCCTTCACCAGAAAAGTTAGTATGACAGATATAATTCTTTCTGTAGCTTTAAGATGCTGCTGCATGATTTGTGCTGGTCATTAGAAGAGATTTCATAGAATCATAGAATAGAATAGAATCATAGAATAGAATCGTGTAGGTTGGAAAAGACCTTTAAGATCATCCAGTCCAACCATTAACCTACACTACCAAGTCCACACTAAACCAATCAAGGGTAGACTAGACTAAACCATGTCCCAAAGTGCCACATCTACCCGCTTTTTGAACACTTCCAGGGATGGTGACTCCACCACCTCTCCGGGCAGCCTGTTCCAATGCTTGACTACCCTTTCCATGAAGAAATTTCTCCTAATTTCCAACCTAAACCTTTAATTGAAACCTAAAACTTTAATTGCAAGCATTCCTTTTCCATCTTTTAAATCCACTAACTAATAAGTATCTTGCTGAAAATGCTTGTATTCTGAGATTTTCTTAGAAAAGCTTTCTGCTCTGCTTTCATGATTGTTCTCCATTGGGAAGAATTATCCATCTCTTCTTTAAAGCCTAGGACTTCTTCCTTCCTTCCATGGTGATGCTTTCTGTATTCCTGAGGCCATCATATTTGGAAAACTCAGATTAAGTTCTCTTAAAAAAAAAAAAGAAAAAAACCTCTATTGGCACATATTCTGTCACTCTTCTCCAGCTGTCCGGTACTCTCTGACAAAGACATGATACAGCTGAGATTCAAGGTTCTTGAATTGAGTTTTCCTGTTCACTTGTTCCAGTCTCCACCAGGAATTCTTCACTGATATTCTGATGGTATTTAAAAAAAAAAAAAAAAAGGGATAAATAACAATGGTAAAATTGGTGTGGTGGGTTGACCCTGGCTGGATGCCAGGTGCTCACCAAAGCCACTCTATCATTCCCCCTCCTAAGCTGGACAGGAGAGAGAAAATACAACAAAAGGCTCATGGGTTGAGATAAGGAGGTCACTCAGCAATTACCATCACAGGCAAAACAGACTCGACTTGGGGAAATTAATTTATTACCAATCAAATCAGGGTAGGATAATGAGAAATAAAAACTAAATCTTAAAACACCTTCCTCCCCCACTTCCCTTCTTCCCAGGCTCAACATCACTCCCTATTGCTCTACTACCAGCAGTGCAGGGGGATGGGGAATAGGAGTCGCAGTCAGTTCATCACACGTTGTCTCTGCTGCTCCTTCCTCCTCAGGGGAGGACCCCTCACACACTTTCCCTGCTCCAGCATTGAGTCCCTTCCATGGGAGACAGTCTTCCATGAACTTCTCCAACATGGGTCTTTCCCATGGGCTGCAGTTCTTCACGAACTGCTCCAACGTGGGTCCCTTCCACGGGGTGCAGTCCTTCAGGAGCAGACTGCTCCAGTGTGGGTCCCCCACGGGGTCACAAGCCCTGCCAGCAAACCTGCTCCAGCGTGGGCTCCTCTCTCCATGGGTCCACAGGTCCTGCCAGGAGCCTGTTCCAGTGCAGGCTTCCCATGGGGTCACAGCCTCCTTTGGGCACAGCCACCTGCTCCGGCGTGGGGTCCTCCCCAGGCTGCAGGTGGATATCTAATGGACCTGCATGGGCTCCAAGGGCTCAGCCTGCCTCACCAGGGTCTTCACCATGGGCTGCAGGGGAATCTCTGCTCCGGTGCCTGGAGCTCCTCCTCCCCCTCCTCCTTCACTGACCTTGGTGTCTGCAGAGTTGTTCCTCTCACATATTCTCACTCCTCTCTCCAGCTGCAGTTTGTGTCCCTGTGTGTTTTTTTTTCTTTTTCCCCCTTCTTAAGTATGTTATCACAGAGGCGCTGCCACCGTTGCTGCTTGGCTCGGCCCTGGCCAGTGGCGGGGGTGTCTTGGAGCCGGCTGGCATTGGCTCTGTCGGACATGGGGGAAAACTTCTAGCAGCTTCTCACAGAAGTCACCCCTGTAGCCCCCCCGCTACCAAAGGCTTGCCACACAAACCCAATACATTTGGGTTCCATAATTGCAAACTATAGAGCAAATTGTGAAGAAAATCTCCTCAAACAGAAATCTTTGAAGGGAAGGATGCATCATGAAATGGGTACAGCTACTTTTGAATTGCTTTTATTTTCATTTTAAGATGGTAAAGATCCTTACTGCAGCTACTAATTTTAATGTCAAAAAAACCCCACCAACAGGACTGAAACATAACTGCAATTCCCAAAAGTTTGCTATGGGTGGAAATAAAGATATTGTCTAGAACAAGAAATATAATTACTGTACTTGGAAACAGCAGAGTCATTAATATGCAGAAGGTGTGCTCAGGGCTGAGTTAGAGGTTTGGGGTTTTTTTTTCCTTAAAAGTAGGAGCATGTATTTTTAAACAGAAGTGGATTATCTTAATCCATAATTACTGGACCAGAATGAGTAAAATTTAGTAGCTCTACATATTTCATTTTACCTACTGTCCAAGTTGGTATATGGGTTTTAAAAGTTGCATGTTTTCTCTGGAAACAGTCCTTTCTATTTGAAAAAAGTATTTATTTCCAGAACCCATTCATGTTCAGCAGAGAAATGATCATAAAGATCCCAATTAGCTCTGTTACAGTTTTCCTTCATGATAGAATATGATGTCTGAGATGAGTAATCTGGCAGGATCAATTCTGTCTAACTAACTTAAGCAGATACTGAAACACCGTGCTGCTTTAGCACCAAGTTGTTTTCTCAAAGGAAAGGCTCTCTGGCTGTAAGCTCTGTATTTATTTTTACACTAGTGCAATCTACACTTAATTGCCTACTTTTATGTGAATATACCCACAATGAACCCATACACCTTAAAAAGCTAACTGCCTTTGGTGTGTAACGTGTGGATCATTATCATCCATATGACTTCTCACCATAAGGTGAGACAGTCCTTTAAATTAACCAACACTCAGATTTTCATGCACATGTGTAGCTCACCTTACTAGCCTGAAGGAATAAATACTTTCATTATCTGATGATGGGTAATGCAATTAATACCTAAGCTTGCTAGACCAGGCGATAATAACTAGAGTTCAGCTGAAAGTTTCTGGGGAGAGCAGACCTGGGACAGACTGCCCAATAGAAAAACCAGAGGAAAGCTAGTGAGGAGTCTTTTGCTGGGCAGCTCTCTGAGGCTCCCCAGGACAGATCTGATCAAGAAATCTGTGGAGAGTGGTCACCTTTTAAGATGCTCTTGGCAAAGGGGAAGGTTGCTCTAATTTGGATTTTCTCAACAAGAGAGGGCTGAGACAGGGAGGGTGACCAGCAACAGGCAGACTGAGGCAGCAGTGGGGAAACAACATCAAATGGATAAATGTACCAACATACTTGTGGTACTTCTTCTGCATTACAGCACAGACTATGTGCTGTGCTAGACTCCGCCTAAAGTGGAGCGCCCTATATCTAAGGAGACAGACTCTTTGGGGTCATAAAATAATGATGAGGTTTGGCCCTGTTTTTTTAATTCTTAAGCCATCAGTCACCTGTACACAAGAAAACTAGGTTGATTTTTTTTTAGATGTTTTTAACATAGCTTCTATTTCTATTCTTACAGTTTCTGCCTGCAATCAATTGCAGGTTCTAATAGAGGCTGTGTTTTGAAAGCTGTCTGTAAAACCAGGGGATCATCATATGCTCTAGTGCCTTAATACTTCTGAGCAGCAGCCACTGCTCAAAAGCCTCGTTACGAGAAAGTAAAAGTCTGAAGCACTGCTTGGAACATTTTGTGAGATGGCATTAATACCCTCTCAGTCTCTAAAAGGCTTTTCTTTTGCTTCACTAAGATTCATGGTGGATGATTTGACTCTGTTCCAAATACTGCCTGGGGGTTGCTGATAGGGAAGGAAATACTTTTTAAAGGGTTTTTCAGAACTGACAGCTTTGAATTCTCAGAATTAGTAATTCAGCCACTCATAAAGGGAACATGGAGCATGCCATTTTCACTGCATGTGTAAACACAGGGCTAAGGTACTGCAACAGTGGGAGAGAAAGAGCAGAAAACCTGGTAGGCTCAGGGTCCTGTTGGAAAAGCTGTAAAGCAAGAAGGATCTCATCTCCTTGTGCCTTCCTCCGCTTCTGGGCCCCTCACTACAAGAAAGACATTGAGGTGCTGGAGCGTGTCCAGAGAAGGGCAACAAAGCTGGTGAAGGGTCTGGAGCACAGGCCTTATGAGGAGCGGCTGAGGGAACTGGGGTTGTTTAGCCTGGAGAAGAGGAGGCTGAGGGGAGACATTATCGCTCCCTACAACTACCTGAGAGGAGGTTGTAGTGAGGTGGGTGTTGGTCTCTTCTCCCAGGTAGTTAGCGATAGGATGAGAGGAAATGGGCTCAAGCTGCGCCAGGGGAGGTTTAGGTTGGAAATTAGGAAAAATTTCTTTACGGAAAGAGGGGTCAAGGCTGCCCAGAGAGGTGGTGGAGTCACCATCCCTGGAAGTGTTCAAAAAACGGGTAGATGTGGCACTTGGGGACATGGTTTAGTCTAGTCTACCCTTGATTGGCTTAGAGTAGACTTGGTAGTGTGGGTTAATGGTTGGACTGGATGATCTTAAAGGTCTTTTCCAATCTAAACGATTCTATGATTCTATGATTCTATGAACTCAAAACAGGACAAAGGCGTAGGAAAAAGGCTGGAGCATTACACTTAAAACTTGAAATGGGAGTCTTTCGGGGGTGTTACTGTGAATAGCAAATACCTGAGCAGATCAAAGTTTATGTTTTTCTTGTTCACTTGCTTTAAGATGCTGTGCATTAAAATGTCTAGAGTCCTCCTGCATGACCTCTTCTGCTGTTCAATATCCGCATTTCTCTGTGGACATTCCAAAAGGAACTTACTGGGTCAGCACCAGTGGTTTGTTAGTTATACCACAAATCCTGCTTTTTCTGCCTTGTCCTTAAAAGGATAGATTTTGCTTATAGTTAAGTGGTGGGGATGGGGAGTCCTGGGAGTTGCATCTCCTCAGTCTCCTGATCTGTGTTACATTCCCACACAGTGGGTTATTTAATCTAATCTGTGGGAATGTACACAGCCATTTGTTTACTGTATTTGCACTCAGTAATCAAGCCTTAATGAAAGTTTGCAACAGTCCAAAGATATAAATAAATATTGTGAAGGATTGGTAGAGCTATTCATGGGAAATGTAAATTCAAACTCCATTGAGAAATGTGTATTTATCAGTGGAAAGGCTTATAGTTGACTGATAGTTGGCAGCCATGCAGTTCAGGCCTATTAAAATTCAGGGAACATATGTTGTAATAAATCCGTTATCAATCTAGCTGACTAAGCACTTAGTGCTTGGCCACTAAGTAACTCTTCAGTGGGCAACGTGTAAAATTGTGACCTAGCGATATTGCAAATTGTAACAGAGGCTGGGACTTCATAACCCTGTATGAGTTATATGTACATCTCTCTGACTTAATTTTATGGTTTAGGGATATATGGCTAAAATCTCTTTGAAGCCTTCAAGTTGTGTATGCAGAGTCGGGGAGTGGAAGAGATGAATGTGATTGCAGAGTGTGGTGTTCAGCATGGGTAGGACGAGATCCTGGGTTTCTTACTTTTCTTCTGTTGCAGGTGGAGAGAGAGAAGGCCATTCTCCTGGCCAACCTGCAGGAGTCTCAGACGCAGCTGGAACACACCAAGGGAGCCCTGACCGAGCAACACGAGCGAGTCCACAGGCTCACGGAGCACGTCAACGCCATGAGGGGGCTGCAGAGCAACAAGGAGCTGAAAGCTGAGCTTGACGGTGAGAAGGGCCGAGACCCCGGCGAGGAAGCACACGACTATGAAGTGGACATCAATGGCTTGGAGATCCTAGAATGTAAATACAAAGTAGCTGTTACTGAGGTGATAGACCTTAAAGCAGAAATCAAAGCCTTAAAGGAGAAATATAATAAATATGTGGAAAACTACACTGAAGAGAAGGCCAAGTATGAGAGCAGAATCCAGACATATGACGAACAGGTGACAAACCTGGAGAAGTCGACCAAGGAAAGCCAGGAAAAAATGGTCCACATGGAAAAGGAATTGCAAAGGATGACAAGCATAGCAAATGAAAACCATAATACCCTCAACACCGCCCAGGACGAGCTGGTGACGTTTAGTGAGGAGCTGGCTCAGCTTTACCATCATGTCTGCCTGTGCAACAATGAGACACCCAACAGGGTCATGTTGGACTATTACAGGCAAAGCAGAGTCACCCGCAGCGGGAGCCTGAAAGGACCAGACGACCCTCGAGGTCTCCTTTCCCCCCGGCTCGCCAGAAGGGGGGTGGCATCGCCTGTAGAAGCCAGGACCCCGACCGAGCAGGTGACGAAAGAGGTCACGGAGCCTGGCAAGGAACAGAGCCCGACAAAAACACCTACCATTTCTCCTGTTATCACAGCCCCTCCTTCCTCCCCCGTCTCCGATACCAGTGATATCCGCAAAGAGCCGATGAACATCTACAACCTCAATGCCATAATAAGGGACCAAATCAAGCACTTGCAGAAGGCTGTTGATCGGTCGCTGCAGCTGTCGCGCCAGCGTGCTGCAGCTCGGGAGCTGGCGCCCATGATCGATAAAGACAAGGAGGCCTTAATGGAAGAGATACTGAAACTGAAATCACTCCTGAGTACAAAGCGAGAGCAGATCGCAACCCTGAGAGCAGTGCTGAAAGCCAACAAGCAGGTAAGATGCTAATAAAGCAGTCAGTCGGGAACATCTGTTATTTATACAGGTCACTTACAAGCTTTCCCAGGAGTATTTCGGAGGAGAGATTTTACTCACAGGTTATTTAGCCTCTCACTCAATCATGGCAAAGGCAGACCTTTCTTCCCTCCCTCCCTGCCTCCTCTTTAAGCTCTTTAGCTCTGCTTTTCTCAGCACCCACCATTCACCAAGGTCACAGGCAGAAGAGACTTTCCTGTCGAGCGAGAGAAAAGCAGAGCGGCAGGGAGGGATTAGCTACCACGGAGCTTGATGCACAGGCATGTTGCTAGTATTATTGCAAAATGATAAAATCACCAACATTGGAAGAGGCGCTCAGGGGCGTGCTTACCCCTCGCCAGGGCAGGTATTGCTGGAGCGGTGGGGAGGGCAAGCGTAGGGGAGACCACCTGGGCCAGCACCTCAGCAGCTGCAGGTGGCCCTGCTGATGGGATGTAGAGGGGCAGATGGTGCAAACAACCCATTGCATTCTTCTTGGCTCTTGGTAATACTCCACAGGCTGCAAAACTTGAATGCCCCCCAGCAAATTTAAGGGAATTAAAAATAAATGCCACAAAAGCTAAGGCGCGCCTCAGGAAAAAAGTGGCAGGCGTAAGTGTGGCCAGTGGCTTTGGACTGTACAGAAGCTGGGTGTTTCTTTAACAAGACAGCAGGTGAAATGTTATTTTCATTATAGGTGGTTGGAATTTTTTTTAATGCTTTTTCTTTTTAGTCAGAAGTAATTTCTCCTGCTATTGTCACATTTTTAATCCTTTAAGAAGTAAAATCAAGGTTTTATTTTTCTTTCTTTTTTCTTTTTTTTCAGAAAAAGGACAACATCACTACATGATAAAGCTGACAAACAGTAACTGCAGTTTTTTATTTTGAGAAGGATTCATTCTAAAGTTATATTTTTAACATTTTATATCAAATGCCAAAAGAGGACCATGTAATGGTGTGTTTTTCAAGGGTACTGACAATGTTTTTGCATAGTATATCCTCCCAAGCCCTTTGTATCTATGCCACATGAGGGCATGAATCCTGGTTAACAGCTTGGGATACTATTAGCTGATGACACTGATGGGATTTCAGTGTTAAAATTCCCAATAGTCAAGTAGTCTGAAGTTACAGTTTCAAGTTTAATTGATTGTTGGATCTGTAACTGCATTTCTAGAGTACTGGGGATTTTTAAATTGCAGCAATATTTCAATATACATTGAGTCTTTTATAGCATTTCCTCCCCTCCAGTACAACACATGTTAAATATTAATTCAAGTAATTAAATACCATCTCTAGCTAAGCAGTAATAGCAGTGAGCAATTATATGTGGATTTTCCATGTAATTAAAATGTAATTAGGATGTAATTGAGGTATATGGGTTTAGATTCCAAGTTAAAGATTTTTTTCTACTAGCATAGAGCTATCATTTTTTTTTATACTACCAGAGAATCTAGCTCAGTCTTGGTCTTTATTGCTGTCAGAAATAAAGCATCATCCTAAAGTTTGCTCACTGAAATGGGAAAGACAGATTTGCTGAGTAAGGTGGTGTTATTAATTAGACTTTTATTTATTGGATAGCAGCATAGATATTGGTAACTGTACAACTGGGTATAGAATCTTGCAATACTGTTCATGCAAACCTAATAACAACATCCTCAAACTTTCAAGTTAAAAGACATAATAATACAAAAGGATAGGAGAAATTTAAAGTTACAGAGAAGGGGGGGTGAGTTTTATTATGTGCTAGCAGTACCGCCAGCCTCAAGTGTATCCCAGGATCCAAAGCACATCTCATGTTCAAAAAACATGAATCAAGATTCATCCCCTTGAGTTCTTCCTCTCCAAAATAATAAGTTTTTAAGCTGTAATATGCTGGGGATATTTCTCCTTTGTGGGTTTCAGTATCGATGAGCCTACAGAGGACATCTGGTTCAGTTTTTCACATTTGCTGCAGAACCATAAGAGCTAGAATTTTCATTTGTTAAAAACCTTCCTCGAGCCCTCATGAAGCTGATGTTAATACAAAACTGTGTCTTTTCATCCCTTATGTAGTACGGCAAACTGCCCGAGGTAGCAGGGGAGAGCTGCAGCAGGCCCCTGCCAGAGGGAAGCCCACAGCTGGTGCGGGGCTGGATGCAGCTCTTCGTGCTTCGTAGCAATACTGTTACCAAACACCTGTATTTGTTAGCACTCCAAAGAGAGACGCTTTAGGTGAAGCTTTTTTGGCTGAAATAATATTGGAAAGCAAGATGAGCACCATCAAATGCACTGTCAAAATGGCAAGACCTGGCCTTCCCAAAGAATCTCGCCATTCAGATCCAGGAGGGAAGACCATCAGCAGGTCCCTGGGTCTGGTATTTCGGGCTGTATTTCGGTAGGGAAGTCACACCCTTAACCAGGGAAGCACGGGTGCTATCTAGTGACCACCAGAAGTCATTGCAACAGCAAATTAAAACGAGAATTGTACAGTTTTTCCTGGCAGTACACTTCGTCACAGTGCACTGACATCCTCTGTTACCCAGGTACACAGGGGCAAATGGTTCACCGGAAGAGAAAAAGAAGAGAGTTTCTGCCTCCCGACTTGAATTGTGTTCACTTCTCTTGGCAATAACTTACCCAACTGCAGAAGAGCCCTGAAGGACTCTCTCCTCCTGCTGCAGTGGGCCTGGCCCTCCAGCAGTGCAGCTGCACCTTTTAAATCTTTAACAGCATACAATAAATTTCTGTTTGAACCCGACAAGGTGTTGCCTAGTTTAATGCATTTGGCAATACCTCATGATATTTTTTTATCAGGCTGTATTATCTTTAGTAATATTTATATCTTATATAAATATTG